ATATATATATACCCATGTTCATAATAGCACACTTTGTAATAGCTGAAATTTGGAAACAGACAAATTGCCCATTAACTGAAGACTGAATGAAGAAAAAGTTGTTAGAGTACTATTCAGCAATAAAAAATGAGACATAGAGATATCTATAGCTAAATGGATGCATATTGAGGCTATCCTCTTAAGTGAAATAATAGGGCTCACGTGTAAATACTGAATAGTTTTTCTGGTGTGAGAAACTGAAAGTATAAATATGGACCAAGATGGATTATAAAAGGTGAAAATTTCCAAAGATGAATGTCATTATATTGTATACCTTAAATGTACTAATAAAATTAATTAATTAAAAAATAAGGATCAAAATGTATAATAGGCAAGGTGAAATAGGAAGAAAAGATCCAAAGGGGAAAGGGAAGTAGGAGGAATGGAGGAAAGGAAAGGTAGGACAGGCATAAATATGAGAAAAGGGAAAAAATGGAAAAAAAGTCTTTGTAAATAGGGAAGGGTGGACGGGTTGAAGGGAGGGCAGGGGAATGGGGAAAGAAAAAGAACCAATTTGAGGATATAATCCTCAGTGAAATAAATAAGTCACAAGTGTAAATACCAAATAGTTTCTCTGGTGTGAAAAGCTATAATAGCACATACGATCCTAATGAGATAATTAACATTGTGAAATAGGAAGTGAAGGGCTAAAGGTGTAGGGAAAGTGGGAAGGGTGGGGGAAAGGGAAAAGAAAAAAATTATGAGAAAATGAAAAAATGGAAATAAAATGTTTGTAAATGGGGAGGGAAGGAGGGGGTGAAGGGAGGGCAGGGACAAGAGGAAAAAATGAGATCCAAGACCTGTCCTGTAAAGGTACAAGATCCCAATGATGAATGTAACTGTACTGTATACCTAAAATGTACCAATAAAGTCAATTAAAAACAAAAAGAACCAAGATATATTATGTAAAGGTATAAATTTCCAACAGTGGGCTGGGGATTTAGCTCAGTGGTTCTGCTGCCTTTCTGAAATCCAAAGGTCCCAAGTTAGATCCCCAGTACAAAAAAAAAATGCCAATAATGCATGTCAGCATATTGTATACCTAAAATGTACCAATTAATGAAATTTAAAAATAAATAGGATTTTGTGGAAGGTGGTGGGAAGAAAATAAAAATAGCAAAAAACAAAGTAAGCTAGAGAGACTTATTTATGTTTTTCCTTGACAATAAATAATACTCTCATTTTTTTGTAAATATTCTCCTTTGGAGGTTTTATCAAAGTCTCATGAATGATCTGTTGAAAAGAGCACAAGGGAAAATAATTTCTCCTGATCTCTGGCAGATTGAGCAATAAAATCCATGGCTATTTGACCTCTTCTGTTTATAATGTTAAGGCCTACATTTGTATATTTTCGAAAAATTTCTATTAGAACAATTCAGAAGACTATGTGATTTTTATCCTTCTCCTGGGGATTTTTCTCAGGAAGTTTTACATATTTTACTGACTTAAATATACACCGTTCCATACCATCAAATAAATGCTACATCTGTTGCCTATAGACCCCGCAACTATAATCCCATTTAGAGTCTGCTGTAAGGCGTCTTCACTCCTCACTCTGTACACATTACTCTCTGGGTTCATCGAGGATATCCACCAGCCACTTCTCTCACCTGAGCAGTTATTCCTTTGTTTTTCATCTATCTTGTAACAATGGGCCGAGATTATCATCATCACATCTTTCCTGGTAAAACAAAGGAATAGTCTCTGCTGTGAGTTAATTCTAGAACATCTTAGTGCTTTATGATAATCTTCCAAATTTTTCTTTGCATAGCCCCAAATTTGTCATGGAGAAAGAGACACATCCAATAGAAGATGCCTCTATCCATTGGATCCTTCCCTCAAAGGAAAACCTCCAGTAGCCTGTTAGAGTACCGCCCCATAGGAGTAGCCAACCTGTCTTTTGGGATACAATTGTAGGGTGGAAGGGTAGAATGTCTGCCAGTTAGAACAGACAGGGTTTGACTGCCTCGGATAGAGAGGGTTTTAAAAGTGAGTCAACTAGAATATTTTTCATAAAAAGAAAGAATGAAATCTAAATTGTGTTCATTTAAAAAATGAAACAAAGATTACTAGTTTATATGGTTAATCTTTAAATTATTTTTGTCGTAAAGTTTGTACAAGCTTCATTGTTTCTTGGATGTTTTAAAAAGTATTGTTTGTATCCAGTTTTCTCCTTTGGTCTATGAGTTAGCTCAAAGATGTTTACATTTTTAGGTAGGACTTGCTTAATTAACAGACTTAGAGCTAACCTTGAATAACAAAATTATCCTACTACAAGGATAAATGTCAAAGAAAGACAGTAAATGAACTAAATGGCTCATGTTAACCCTGTAATTGCAGTTCAAGAACTATTTGTTCAGAGGAAAAGTTTTGTAAGCCGAGCAACTGCCAATTTGATACAGTGAAACTAATCAGGGACTCCTTTTCAATTAAAGAATTGACCAGAAGGGGTATTTGCTCAGTCAGAGGTCAGTACAGAAAGAACAAGTACGGTAGAAACACAGGTAATACACAGATAAGTGCATTCAGAGCACAGCATGGAAGGAAGATTACAGAAAACTTAAACATAAACAGGGTGCTGCAGCCAGTTAAGGGTTTGAAACCTCTTCCATCTAGACACAGTTGAGGACTTGTACTTTCTCCAAATTAGGATATTTAATCCTGGATTCGTCTGCCTTAACCAGAACATTACAGTCCAGAGAGTAAAGAAGAGAAGTTAGTGGTCTCCTGCATAATAAGAAAACCACCAAATCCCAGGGTGGCTCTAGCCAATACCCAAGTACTATTTAGAAATGTAAAACTTGGGGAAATCCCTAGCAATGCTAAAAGGGAACCTGGGTGTATTGGGCACATCATTTCTTGATGTTTGAAATTGAGAAGAGCCAAAAGAGGCTGGGGAGGGAGCAAAGAAGGGAAGGGGTGTTAAGCAAGGAAAAGGAAAGGCAATGCCTGCTGAATATGAAAATCAAGTGGACTAAGAGAAGTGCAAAACTTCTGGGTGAATGCACAATCACTCTCCTTGAGCCACGGTTCAGGAGTCCTGAAACCATTAGTTCTTGTCTTGTGCTTGCATATTCTCTAAAAGAGTTGTCAATATATGATACTAGTGAGAAAAAAAGGCTAGAAGCCACATTTTTTCAAGCATACTCACTGCTGTACATGCAAAGATTTACTGGGGATGGAAACCTTCAACTAAATTGGATTGGTTAAGAGAAGGCCCAAGATGCTCACAGAAGGAAGACAGCACCCATTTTTTATTGATGTGTCGGGGTGGGCTAAAATCCAGTAATTCCATAGGCATGATTCCAAAAGATATTTTTCTTGAGATAGACTTGGATGATTAAGTATTCGTGTTCAACTAGTCCTAGATAGTGTTTGATTTTCATGGAACTCGTGCCATCATTCACAAAAAAAAAAAAAACATGCCAGCGTTGTGGTTCTGGGCTGTATGATAGGGCTGAAATATACTAGCTACTTGGGCTGCTGCCGCTGTTGAAGAAGATATGTGCAGATGTAGAATAAATAAGAGAGAAGAAAGAAGAGAGAGAGGGAGATAGAGAGAAAGAGGGAGGGAGGGAGGGAGGGAGAGAGAGAGAGAGAGAGAATACCCATTCAAGTGGACACTGTATTTTAGTCTTCTACAAAACATTTTAAATAATAAACATGTCTATGTGCAGAGCCAAGTAGAATTTGACTCTAACAGTAAAAATGGCAAAAAATACTATAAGAAGATGCGAATATCATGCCTTTTATCTTATTTGAAACACCAAACAGATTTCTGTAGTTTAAAGTGAAGAGTCAGTGTTTTTAGCAAAAATAGCCTTTAAGTTCCTAGGAAGTAACCTAAACAATTGTTATCATAACACACATGTCAGAGGTTTGATCTACAGCTAATCTTGAGGGAAATGATAGTGTATGACCCCGCTCTGTGACTCTAAAGTAAGCTTTTTTTTTTTTTTAAGTGACTAAGAGCAAATGAAGGTAGAATGCTTAGTGAGTTTTTTTTTTTTGTAATTGTCTCTCGTTTCCTTCAAACATTGTGGTTTCATGGTTTTATCAGGGTTTCATCACTGATCTGTTGAGAAGACCACAAGATACAGAAGCTGTATACAATGGGTAAGAGTTCACTGTGATCAGGGGTTTATTTTTTGTAATTCCAGCCTTTTGTCCAAACGTGGCCAATCCCAGACTGCCTTAAGACTCTCTAGAGTTAGTTCCAGTAAGGATTCCTACCAGAAGCCTGGTATTACTAGCACTTTACCTTTTTTCCTGTTGTGTATTTTTCTCTCCAAATGTTCAAACAACTGTAAAAGACTGTTTTAGGTGCACTTTTAAGTCATATTATCAGAAGCATTTTCCAGTTTAATGCATCTAAGAATTTTGGACATGAAAGTGTTAAATAGACAAAGAAAGTTAAATGCTTGGTTAATAACTCAAGCAATTTATGATATTCCTTATAGAATATACACCTTGAGTTCGGGGAAGTTTAGGAAAGTCAGTAAACTATTAGACTGGCTTTTAGTTTTGTGTCAAGAAGTTTTGATGATCAGGAAGATAATAAAATCTGAAAATTCTGCTGACTGTAGTAAAGGCCTAGATTTCTCACAAAAATCCAGCTTCTTTAATTGGTGAATTTGGAAAAAAAAAAGCAAATATACCAAGTTGACATGATGATGGTGTTTATCTCTGCCTTAGCTGCAAAGGAGAAGTAAAAAGAAAAATTTTAAAAAGCTACTAGGAAGAATTTCTAAAGACACATCTTCAGTTCATACCACCCACTTGAAAAAAGTGTTGAAATTGGATTTTAATGTAATCAAGTTTGGTAGTAGGCACGGTCTCTAACAAGAAGAAAGGAAATATTTTCAACAAGCATGCAGATTCTAGCCATTGAAAAAGATATAGTTATAATTTTGGCCAAATGTTATGATAATGAAATAGGGAAGTTGAATAATGACACATTTGAGTTTTTTTTATTTTAAAGATTTAAAAAATTTGTTTCTTAACTGACAATAAAAGTACACATATTTATGGAATCCAATATGATGTTCTGTTGTATAAATACATTTTACATATCTAAATCAAGAAAATCAATATTTGCATTGTTACATACTTTTATCGATGTCTGCATTAGTTATTAATCATATCTTTCACTATTTACTCTATCTCTCTTGTCATCTGAGAAATTTTTTCCCATTTTATTTTTTCCAGATCCTCTTTCATTGCCAGTTCATGGAGTCCAGGCAGGTGAGTTTCCGATTTTTCCATCTTGTTGTCCCTTGGAGTTGCTTTTGGTGATCGGGAAGTCTGGATTTTAGTCTTTAGGGTCTGGTTTAGGTGTCTGTACACCTGTCTGTGTAGCTGTTGTCCAGGCAGGCCTTTGGCTAGGGTTTGTCCACTGCCATCATTGTTGCCTGGGTGGGCTTCATCTGGGATCTGCATGTACTTACAGATAGGATCTGGGCAGGCCTCTGGTTGGGGCCTGTGCTGCTGAACCACTGGTGTTTTAGAGGGCTTCCAGGGCCTGAGCATACTTACTGATGGTATCTGGGCTGACCCCTGGCTGGGGCTGTGGGGCTGTACAGCTGTTTTCCAGGTGGGCCTTTGGCTGGGGCCTGTACACCCAAGCTGCTGGTGTCTGGGCAGGGCACAATTTTTTTTAAAAAGAGAGAATGCTCAAATTCTACTTTCCTACTTAGGTTTTAAGATTATGCTATGTTCTTATTTCATTTTTTTCTCAGCTTTTTAGGAGTGAGTGGTTTTATGGCATATTTTATACAAATATAATATTCAGAAAGCATCATTTCTTGGCTTTTGCTGCTTAGATCACAAAACAATCTATAGCACTATTTTCTCTACCAATAGCCCTCCTTGAGCTGTACTAATTTTGGATGATATTCTTTTGTAATGCAGGGGTTTTATTAATATCTACCAAGTGTTTTACATCTGCCAGTAGAAATAGAAAGTTTTGACAGGGGTGAAATATATGATCTCCTGTACCTGTTACTGCCTCATTTCATAAAACATATTCTAAAGACATGTTTGTAACCTTAAAAAAAATCAATATAATTCTGGGGTAAGCGTTAATCTTCTACACTCACCCAGAATAAGTTGATCAGAGACAATATTTTTAAGAAGAAACATATAATTGAATATATTTATCTAGAATTTTTCTGTTAAAATACTATACAGTAGTCCTCCCTTATCCATAGAAGATACATTCTAAGCCCCCCCATATGGATGCCTGAAACTTTGATAACAGTTGACCTATAATTTTCCATGCATACAAAACTGTAATAATGTTTAACATATAAATTAGGCACAATAAAAATCTGTAACTACTAATGACATAGAAAAATTATGACAATATACTGAATAAAAGTTATGTGTGTTCTCCAACAAAATATCATATTCCACTATGTATTTTAACAATCTCAGCACTTTTTTTTTTTTCTTAAACCCAGAGCTTTCACCATTTCATTCACTTTTCTTTTTCCTTTACTTCCTTGGTTTATTGATGTTTTAGGGGCCAGATTCTTCATTTCCTATAGAAACCATGGAAGATTTTCTTGCTAATTATGTTTCCTTGTCTTTGATTTTGTTCAGATTTAAATTTCCTTATAAAGTTTATCATAACTTTATTTTAATTGCATCTGCTTGACTGTTCTATTAAAAACCAAAATG